GGGGAACTGCAGTTTAAAATGGGGTGGTAAGGAAAGCCACAGTGAGGTTATTGGATATCTGGGGCATGAGTACCCCAAGTGAGAAGGTGCTCCCTATGTCCCTCATATGCTTTATTTTTCCCTATAACACTTATCCACACAAGACATATTACATATTCTGTTCACTTGTTTATTATCTGTCTCAGTCCTCTAAAATGTCAGTACTATGAAAGCAGAGATTTTTGTTTGGTTTGTTCACTGCTATGTCCCTAGCATCTACAAGAGTGCCTAGCACATAGTAAGAGTTCAGGAAGTATTAGTGAAATAGATAAATGATTCCCAGTTTGGGAAATAATACCAGTGCCTATCAAAAATAGACTACTATACAAGATGCTGTCAAATACAAATAGAGTAAAAAAACACAGTCTTTGCTCTTAAAGAGTCTTCTTGAAGAACCGGGACTAATAATACACGGAGTGATTAGTAAATAACATAGGCAGTGCTAGGTATGACGATTAGCTAATTAGGTTTATTTGTATAAGACTCATGGAATTGCCCTTGTTATTCCTGATTATACCTAGTATATAATTAAACACTGAACTGAATGGCATAAACTATTTCATACAAGTTCAGAAGGGGAAAAAGGAATGAGGTGCAATAGTAGGAACAGACTGTGGGCAGGAGACACTCGATTTGGGTTTAGTGGATGTGAAGGCATGCACTGGCAGTGAACAGGTGGTAGGCATTTCAGATGAAGTGAATTTCATGACACGGCATAAAGGCAAGAGAAGGACAGTGAGAAACCTATCCTAAATGGAAGAGAGGGCATTCAGTGATGAGTGGTGGTGATCTGGAGAGGACAATATGAGGAGGACTCGATTACAAAGAACATGACCTTCTGAGCAGAGGGATTAGTCTCGATAGAATCTCATAGCATGTGCTGTTGTCTATGCCCAGCTTAGATCTCCTGGAACCCTTCTAACAGTTTGTTACACCCATTCCCCAGGTGTTTCTTCCATTGCTGCTAATGGTTCACACCAGTAACTTTCTTTGGAAGCAATATAAGCTACCTCCTAGCCCTCTTCTCTGTTTACTCACACAACATACTTCCAGGACAGCTGACAGCTAATAACTAACAAATACAAGGAAGGGGGTACAAAAGCACAGTTTCGTTGCCTCAAGGCAAGACAGACTCACTCTGTGGTGCAATTTTGTTCCCAGGTTTCCTGCTGGATCAAGTGAAGCTGGATATCCCCTGAAATCATACCTTTGCTCATCTCAGTTTCTTCTGCTTCCCAAGCCTGTTTCACTCACTCCCTTACTTAAAGGAATCTCTTACTGTATCACTTGGACAAGAATCCCCATCTCAGACTCTGCTCTAGGAAATTGGACTAAGACAAGTCTGTAAATGACGGTAGTACATATTCACGCAGAAAACTTCAAGTTTTTGAAGGAAAGAGTTCGCTGAGAAAGTATTCTTGTAGGTAACTCAGTTTGGAAGAATTCAGAGTAGTCTGATTGGTGAGAAGTGGAATGAAGAAGTGACCAGAGGACAATTAAGAATGCTGTTCAGGGCTGGGCACGGTGGCTCACACCTATAATCCCAGCACTTTGGGAGGACAAGGCGGGCAGACAGATCACGAGGTCAAGAGATCAAGACCATCCTGGCCAACATGGTGAAACCCCATCTCTACTAAAAATACAAAAATTAGCTGGGTATGGTGGCACGCGCCTGTAGTCCCAGCTACTTGGGAGGCTGAGGTAGGAGAATTGCTTGAACCTGGGAAGTGGAGGGTGCAGTGAGCTGAGATTGTGCCATTGCACTCCAGCCCGGGTGTCAGAGTGAGACTCTGCCTCAAAAAACAAACGCCAGGTACGGTGGCTCACACCTGTAATCCCAGCACTTTGGGAGGCTGAGATGGGTAGATCGTGAGGTCAGGAGCTCGAGGCCATCCTGGCTAACATGATGAAACCCCACCTCTACTGAAAATACAAAAAAAAATCAGCCAGGCACAGTGACACGCGCCTGTAATCCCAGCTATTCGGGAGGCTGAGGTAGGAGAATCCCTTGAACCCAGGAGGTAGAGGCTGCAGTGAGCTGAGGAGATGGTGCCACTGCACTCCAGCCTGGGCGACAGAGCAAGATTCAGTCTCCAAAAAAAAAAAAAAAAAAGCTGTTAAAACTCGGAAAACATACTTACTTTGATATCAGAGAGAAAATTTGAGGAGAGAATGGTCCTGGTATAGAGAAGAATCACAGATAACTCTTCAAAGTTGTATTTTTTCCTTAAAAGGCAGAAGTATTTCTTCAGTAGCACTGTCAATATTATACTATGAATTTTGTTAACCACACACACTATCTAAGCAGGCTGACATTACCTAACATAAGAAGTGTTCAAAAACTTGAAGAGAATGTCAATGAATAACAATGACTCTAAAATATTCCCCAACAGTTTGGGTCCTTGAATGTCTATTATTTAGAAATATAAAGATACGATTAAGTAGTATACTCAAATGTTTATAACAAGTCGATTTTGTAAGTTGGTTTTTTAGATTCTGTATAAGCAGCCTAAAAGAATCTTTATTAGAATCAGTAGCAGACTACATAAATTGGAAAGGCATTCAAATAGGACAACATCTGGTTTTTATCTATTCTTATGGGGCCCAAAGTGTTTTCAATAGAAAATAAGATACTGGTTCCTGGGTCATAAAATAAGCAGCACAATGTGGAAACAAGCAGGCTGGTATGAAAGAAATTGTACGCAGCCCATGAAAGAGCTCATAAACTTTCAGTTTTAGAATGTGTAAAACAGCCTGTCATCATCTCTATTTGTTGTGCTTTCTTGGTATGTCAAACAAGTTAAGTTTCTTGACCTCTTGATTTCCCTTCAAAATTCATACTTGGTAAATTAAAAATGACAACTTTCATTTGATTAGGAACAACTTTCATGTTACATGTCTCAATATAGAGAACAGAAGAATACTAATGAAACAAATTTTTTTATAACCAATGACTTTTCTTATTGACTACTTTCCTATGCATTAAAATGTATAGCTAATAGCCTATCAAAATTTAAAATACATATAAACATTGATTCAGCAGTCCCACTGAAAAGAATTTCTCTAAGTTTTTTAAAAAGACCCTAAAGAGGAAACTGGTTAGAAAGTCATGATACCTCAAAATAGATCTGTATGTCCAAGTCAGTCTAAGTTTGTAAAAACAATTTCCTTTTCAGTTTTAATACCAAATTGATATTCATTCAGACAGGTAAACATAATTTACCCTGTAGAAATTCTTTCACTAGCAATCCCTAGGACAGCAGTAGCAAAACACAGAGCACTGCCTAAGTGTTTTTCACAAAACACGACTCCTAGGAGGGGCTCCAAGAAAAAGGTTCCATAGACAAATACTTTGGGAAGGTACCAGGTTTTATTTCCCTCTTTCTTTCCAATTTTACTTTTTTTGGGGGGGGAGGGGCGGCGGCGACAGAGTATCGCTCCATTGCCCAGGTTGGAGTACAGCGGCACGATCTCGGCTCACTACAATCTCTGCCTCTAGAGTTCAAGTGATTTTCCTGCCTCAGCCCCCAAGTAGCTGGGATTACAGGCATGTGCCAGCACACCCATCTAATTTTTGTATTTATAGTAGAGACTGGGTTTTACCATGTCGGCTAGGCTGGTCTCAAACTCCTGACCTCAGGTGATCCACCCACCTCGGCCTCCCAAAGTCCTGGGATTACAAGTGTGAGCCACAGCGCCCAGCCTATTTCCCTCTTAAAGATTCATAACATACATGATAATTTATGGAAGACTTAGATAATTATATGCAATATAATTATGGAAGAGATTGGGGAGGCAGAAAAAGTGGTGTTTTCCAAATCTGATAGAATTCAGAATACTTTTTGTAATCATCAAAAACAAGATTTGCTTAAAACCCTCCACAACTACCTCGTATATGATCAAACTACCTTCATTATAAAGCTGAAGGTTCACAGCTACCCTTCTATCACTCTCCATTCCCTCTTTCTCCTCCCTTGCCTTCGGCCCAGGATACTACAGTGATCAAACTTTATAAGTCATAATAACCACAGAGAACTTCAACAAATATAACTCCTGGTCTTTCCTCCCAGAAATTCGGATTCAGTATAGACATCAGTATTTTTAACAAGCACTCCAGGTGATTTTGGTGCAGGTTTCAAATGATGGGATCCTCAAAATACCTGATATATTATAAACAATGTGATGATTAATTATTTTATAATTTGAGGCCAGAGTGACTTTAGAAAGCAGTAAGTTCAAAAAGTCCAGCCTTCAAAGGACTGTATTAAAAATTATTTTTCTACTCAGAAAAAAAGAGAGAAAAAGACAAACTAACGAAAGCGAAATCATATCCTAAAAGAATATCCTTTAATATACTGCTCAGAATTTTACCTAACAGAAAGAACTCTTAGCCTGCACTCCATTGAGCAATTTCAAGAATTCCTGAATTCTCTGAAGCTGTATACACAATTTCTTTTTTTTTTTTTTTAAGACAGGATCTTGTTCTGTCACCCAGGCTGGAGTGCAGTGGCACAATCAGAGCTTCATGCAACCTTGACCTCCTGGGCTCAAGCAATCCTCCTGCCTCAGCCTCCTGGGTAGCTGGGACTACAGGCCCATGACACCATGCCTGGCTAATTTTTTTATGTTTTGTAGAAACAAGCACTCATTATATTGGCCCAGCTGGTCTCAAACCCCTTAGCTCAACCAATCCTCCCACCTTGGCCTCCCAAAGTGCCGAGATTACAGGCCCACACAATTTTTATTAGTATGGAAATACATGCCTTTTGATGGGGAAATAACTCATAGCTTTCAGCAATTCTCATGCTGCTCAATTATCCAATTTAAGAGCCATTATATTTTTTATTTACCTGAAACAATGGCAGCAGAAACTGAGTCTTAGTTAACACCATGAGTCAGACACACAAAAACATAGTCCTCAATGTTGGTTTCTCTTTCAGGACAAACAGAAAGCAACTTACCTTTGCAGAGTCATATTCAAAGAGCCTGTACAACCCTTAATCTTATTCTGGGCTTCAAGATGAGTCATTCCTTGTGCACTTATTCCATCAATGCTGAGAACCACATCGCCTATTCTTACATTTGCCTGGGATGCCTTGCCGCCATCTTTTAGCTGTAATAAATACATTTCATTAGGAGTGTCATTCTGAAAAAGAATAATAAATGCTGATAAAAATTATACTTTTGCTTATACCAAAAGCATATTAATATACTAAGTAACACAAAACTATCTTGTTCAACATGTAAAGAATTTTAGCATGTAAAGTTAAAATTCAAATGATTTAAATGTTTATTTTCTTAAATCCTTATTTGTTCTATAAAAAAAAAAAAAAAAAACGAATTTTCTGAGAAAGATTCCCTGATCATTTCTCCATTTCTTTATTGTGCAACAGTAGTTGTGTGATTTTTATGAATCAGGAAGAGAAGCAGCCAAGGAAACTTCACATTTTAGCAGAATAAAAAGAATGCAATCTGAAAGGGGTTTTTATACTCTTTTGGAAATAATTTTTTAAAACGCTTAACAGCTGTATTTTTGTTTGAGCACAAAGACGAATAGAGAGGGAAGATCTGCTAAACAATCCTTCCTGTCGAGTCCAGTTCATATGCAGCATTTGGGGACTGAATTCTTTCAGATTCCAAGCCCAAATATCTTTTATACTAGGTGTGCTTCCTGCTGTAGGCATTTGCAGAAGGGAAACTCTTTGCATCTGAGACAACTCGACTTTTTTGCGTGTGTCACAGTCCTTAATCCTTAGTCTTTCTTCTCCTGCTCAATAAAATCTTCTATGTGTTTATATTATTTAGTTTGATCTCCTCCAAATTTCGTGTGTATATATTTCATTGCCCCAAAAGAAGCACATATATTACACTGGGATAAGTGACAGTGAACTTTTCATAGATACCTAGAAATATGAAACAAGTACAAATTAAAGAAACCATTCAAATTCAAATGACAACTCAGCATTCAATAAGTACAAGTAGATCACACTGAATACTGAGTTGCTGTAGGATGGGAGATACTAGGCCTGAAAAAGCAAGTAAATAACCAGTATTCATCTAGTACTTGAAACTAAAATCTTATACAGAGTTTCTGTTTGAGATGATGAAAAAGTTCTAGAAATAGATAAGTCAGAAGGTTGCACAACACCGTGACTGTATTCAGTGAATGCAACTGAATTACACATTTTAAAATGATAAACCACTTTGGGAGGCCAAGGCAGGCAGATCCCTTGAGGTGAGGAGTTTCAGACTAGCCTGGCCAACTGGCCAACATGGTGAAACCCCATCTCAACCAAAAATACAAAAATTAGCCAGGCGTGGTGGCGCACACCTGTACTCCCAGCTACTCAGGAGGCTGAGACAGGAGAATAGATTGAACCTGGGAGGCAGAGGTTGCAGTGGGCCAAGATCGCACCACTGCACTCCGGCTTAGGCAACAGAGCAAGACTCCATCCCCCCCAAAAATAAAAAATAAAATAAAATGATAAACATGGTTAACTTCTATGTTATGTATATTTTATCACAGTTTAAAAAAACACCAATGATTTTTAGAAAACATTTAAAGAAAACAGTTCTGAAAGCAAGCGAGCTACACACCACTTTCTTTGGGACTTTGGGAAGGTTGTTCCACTTACGCTATCAGGTTATCATAATGATTATACATAGATAATATAGTTGGATAAATGTTAGCTATCATTGTATTATCATTCCCTTGATCTCAGATTACTGATCCGAGAAATGTGGGGCCTGCACCAGACGATCTAAGAGGCCTTCTAAGGTCCCCGCCAGTTTTAAAAGTTTATCTGTGAGCTGCTACCTATACAAAGTTACAGGTTTGATCCTACAATAAAAGTGAAATCTGGAAGGCTTCTGTGAGACAAAGGGACATCTATTCCCTACTAAAATCCACAAACAAATTAAAATTTGACATCTTTGTAAAGAGAGAAAGTAAACATAAGTCATCCTAGATTTTATTTTAGCAAAGAAGGACAGGCATTAAACAAAAAATTAACTAGAAATAGAAAGCAGTTAAATTACCTCACCACCCTCACATAAAGTAGCCTTAAAACAGAAACACGGAAATCTATGGGCATTTGTTCTAAATGTGCCCAACAGAAACAACTTAAATACTCCTAGTTCAGTAGTAATATAAAGGTAATGAACAATGTAGAAAGAAAATAATGGAATCAAAGACAATGTCATAACCAGATAACTTTTCTTATTCTGCTCCCTTTACATACTAGATCTCTTGAGAGTCTATCATCTCAAGATGTTCAAAACCAATTTCTTAGAATTACCTTCCTTTCTAGGACTGCTTTTATTCTGTCACCCTTATTTTCAAATCATGGAGCACAGGAATCCTATAGCCACATGGATTCTGCCTCTTAAGTACCACATCTAGGAAAATTACTAAATGTAACAATGTAAATGTGATCCGTCCATCCTTCCATTCCTCTCCTATGACAGTCCAAGTCTTGATCATCTTTCACCTTGCTCTTGCGTACTTGCCTTCCACTAGAGTTTTCTACAGACCTTTCCTACCTTCACATCTCCATATTTGTCTCCTTTTCTTCCATTTTAACATTCCCAAATGGTGGCCCCATTACCTCTTGCACTGGAAAGTTCTAATCATATCAACTCCCTATTTATAAAATGAGAGTAGAAAAATTGCAAATGTCTTCTGCTTCCTATAATGTAAAGAAAATACAAGCCATCTATAATTTGTCACCAATCTGTTTCCAGCTTCAAAACAAGTTCCATAAGGTCAGGGATCATGTTTTATAATTTGTTCTTCTCCGAGAGCCTTGAATATTGTAGGTTTTCTAAAACTTTCACAACTTCCTTGGTAACTTTGTTAACAAGTATTAGGAAGAACTTAACTGTACTGAATCTTAATTCTTTCTCAACCAATTAGCACAAATGGAAACAAAAGTCCATCATGGGCTTAACAATCTTTCATATATTTAAAATGCCATACAAACTCCTTTTTGTTTACAGTTTTTCAGCTTGGTAATATGAATCATCTTGAGTTTTCGACACTGATGTCTTTTTGGAATCTCTAACCATCTTCATTATTCTCTACCCAGGCTTCCTACTCATATGATGTAAACTTAAGGGCATGATGAGCTTGAACTAATGCTATATATAGTGGGAAATGCCCAATACACAGAAAAACAAATTTAGGACTTGTAAAAAGGAACACTTAACTAAATACTCCTATGAGCTTCATTTATCTCCAGAACCACTTCCTCAATCTGTTCACTCATTAGAAAGATAAATGTTGCCTTTCTCTTAATTGGGTAGGATGTAGCATTATCAATCTAAGCAGCCAAGGAGAGACTACAAAGTCATTCATTATTTGCACAGCTCTTTTTTTGTTTGTTTGTTTCACTGTTTTTCAAGTCTGAATAGCTTGCATTTGTTTAAAGCAGTAGTAACTTTCTGTCATCAGTACATCTTGTACACGGCAGCCGTAAGTGTGTATGTATTTCATAAATGCACAGCGTAGGAAGGAAGCAGTTGTGGGAGGCTCCTGGGTTGAGCTCAGTATAAATCAAACTAATCACAAGCAAATGCTTCCTTTTTGATCTTTAAATGCATTTTTCAGTACTGCTATCCAATTTTCCACAGACTTAATTGCAGCGGTGTGCTTCTTCAAAAACATTACTTTGTGGTCTCACTTTAGTTGCAAGCACACATGGCTGTACATGTTGGAACTGCCTCTGAGTTCCGGTTTGTTCACTGATGCTGAAATGAAGGAAAACCAGAAAACTGTATGCTCCTGAAGAGAGTGTTATCTTTACTAAGCCTCCCCATTCACTTCAGTACAAAAGGATCTAATATCAGTTATCTGTACTCAGATTAAAACTCATCCCTAGGAACAGCTGCATTTTAACCCTTTTATCTGTAACCATGGATTACAAGAAGTCTTCTCTTGAAAAGGAAGTCCAGTCTTCAGCAAGCAGATAGGAAAGATTGTGGGAGTTTGGGGGAGAATGTAAAAGAAAATGGAATAAGAGCCTTGAGCTTGCCCATCTTAGTTTACTAGGAAAGACCCAAAGGTAAATTTTTTTCAGTTTAGGAAGGTAGCTCCTCTCACATAGTGTTTTACTGTCCTAAGAAAGAAATGACCCAGAAGAAGTAATCAGTACTATATTTACCAAGCATGAACAGTAAATCGGGGACTTTGGGGATGCTTCATCATTCCTCTCTTTTGTAAGGTAGTTGTAGTCTGTTTTACAGATGGGAAAACAGAGCTTCAATGTGATCAAATAACTTGTCTATGTCCATACAACAATAAGACCACAATACTGAGCACAGGCTTTGAGGTCAGGCAAATAGGAGTTCATATTCATGCTCTGCCATTTACTAGTTGTGTGACCTGAATTAGTTGACCTCTCTAAGTCCCAGTTTCCGCTCTTTGAAAATGAGGACTATAATTCCACCTGCCTCACAGAGCCGCTGAGCAGGTTAAATAAAATACCAGGACAGCATGTACCACAAAATGCACTGGAAATGTTCAATATTATTATTTACTCTTACACGATGTCACAAATTCACATAGGCGGGAAGCCTACTTCAAGGTAATACAGGGCAGGGAAGACAGCATTTCAAACTGACTGGTCAGACCTCCTTCTGGCTTTTCACTTCCTTCCTTAAACTTCCTTCTGCTTCTCTAAGCCTAACTTTCCCCTCACTCAGCAACAGAAATGAATATGCCACACATTCAGAGCATAATTCACTGCATCTCCCTTCCCTGCTTACTACTATCCAATTATGAGTTTCCCAAAATCCATTCCTAAAGAATGGTAGCCTCTTGTCACTTCTCAGAAGCATTAGGTGTTGCCACTGTACCAAAAGGCCAAAGGATAAAAATCAATAAAGTGATGTTGGTGAAGAACTCTTGAGCTGGAGGTCAGAGGAGGACAGGAATAAAAGAAAAAAAGAAGAGAGGGAAACAAAGGATAGTATTGGTATAGAAGGTAGAGGAGGGAACCAAGACCATGAGGAAAGAAAGATGTCCCAGGTGTTAGAAAGCAAGATCCAGGCTTTAACTCTAGGTGTGATATAGATCCAAGTACATATGCACAAAATAATATTTAAACTGAACAG